ATTCTGGCACACTGTCATGAGTTAGCCTGCTGAGACACTTGAACTGTACAAAGCCATTGTTAAAGATGTTAGCAACACCTGCGCTTTTACTACGACAAGTCAAAACGTCTACCGTGTAACTCAAAATCACTCGTCACACTCAATGATTTCCATCTAACTTTCCAGTGGCTTCTTAAAAGAACTGGCTCCATCGGTGGAGTGACACAGAAAAGCTTAAATGTCTCTTTTATGTCAAATTATTTTTTCCTACAAAAAGTCTAACGTACATCCACTGTCAATAAAAATATAAAAATATACTTGTTAAAGGTTGGGGCAGATCAAAAGGGGTGGCATAAAAAGTGCCTGGCCTGCTCAATAATATAAACACTGTCAAAATCTTTGTGACACCTTATATATATATATAATCAGATAAAATTTCAGTCACTGACTTGTGGGTCATAACATTTTACTTTAAGATATTACATTAAAATGTGCATAATTTGAATGGAGCGCTAACAGCTTGGAATCAGAATATGTCCCCCCATTGTCATTAAATCATCTAGGATCTGTAAATTGTTTATTTCATATTAATAGTTTCCCCATTATTTGTTAATAATACATTCATGATACTGGTTCAAATTCATGAATTAAAATGAGCTGTATAAAGTTATAGAAATAACATGTGACTCTGTGTGACATGTGATTTTAGTGTGTATATTTTCTCCTTAAAATCCTATTTAAGAATTTAGTGATCACAGTACTCAGTACTGTCGCCAGTATTTTGACATGTCCTCGTCAGCCTTTGCTCAAACGGATATCCCAGACAGGCCAATGGAACATAAAACACCCACTCTATAATATTAAGGACGAGACAAAATCAAAATAATGAGTGACTAAAGATACACTCCAACTCCAAACTGCAGTCCGAGATGTTGGTCTCTCTAGCAAGAGCACACACAATTATCAGTGATGTGTACATGACAAAAATGCACATGAACAGAACAGCAAAAGTTTCCAGTGGCAAGTGTGGCATAATATTTTCCCATGACAATGTTTAGAATAACCAAGGTTTGGTTTCTATTTCCTTCTACTTCAACAATGGCACAGGTTATTCTTTCATCTTATACAGCCTACACAGTCATCGCTGCCATTTTGAACACACTTACTCACAACTCCAACTTTAACTTTCAGTTTTTTTATGTATTGTTGGCATATAAAACATGCCCAATAAATGCCCATAATGGATGTTAATGTATGTGCACACGAAGGCCTATAACGCTACTGTTGAATAACCTGGAGCAGCAGAAGTCTAGTCTGCAGCCATACAGTGTGCCCATGTGGTTTTGATCTGAGGCCCTAACATGCTTTTCTCACAGCCACATGAGCGTGTAGTTATGATAGGTGTCATATCAGCCTGCATCGTGCACATATAAGGTTCCACTTGTTTACAGCCAACAAGGGCGAGGCTTCATCCCGAGTTCACTCAAGTTAAATAAGTACACACACACACGGCCTACTTTTTTTTTATTTATTTATTTATTTTGTTTTACAGTTTTCTCGCTCATATGCAGGAGGAGAAAGAGAGGGTGAGTGAGAGAGAGAGAGAGAGACGGTTTCCCCCTCGCAGGCTGCCGCTGTTGCTGTGCCAATGCGCAAACAGTGCACGTCGTGGGATAGGTCTCCCCAAATTGAGGCTGCGCTCGACACGATCATGCGATTGAATGACGAGCGCGTCATGCTTGTCTTCCTCCTCTTCTGTTCCGCGCGATCAGTGGCTCTGTGCTCCGCAGTCCCCTGGGATACTGTACCGCCCTCGATGGCTCTGCTATCGGCGCTCCGCTCACACTGAATGGCTGCCTGGAGCAAGGGAAAGCGGGGAGAGGGAGCGCTGCTTCTCCTCCTTTGAACCGACGCTCTCGCATCAACTTTTCCCAGCCGACGGGGGTGAGTGTCTTCACTGCCGCGTGTGTGAGGCGCCTTTGCCCGGCGGGGGTCTCCTGAGGATCCACCGGCGGCAGAGGAGGTGGTGGAGGAGGGAGTCGGGAGGTGGTGGTA